AAATTGATTTTCCATGGTAATCGGCCCCGAAACTTCCTGAACTCAGAAAAACGACATTAAGATATCCGGTACCTAATAGAAGCAGGACGTTGATTAATAAGAGGTTTATCGCTCATCTAGGTCGCCAAAAATAGTTCAAGAGAATCCCGTTGATCCTTGCCTGCTGACGTTTTAATAGCCTTTTCTACCTCTCATCCTTGATGGCAAAAGAGTGGCATAATGGTCTTTAAGCTTTTGTATATTACCTGAAATTGTATGTGTTGGACGTCCAATAGGAAGTATAGATTCCGCCTAGGTATACTTTACTTTCTGCAAGCTTTCAGCATTGCTTTTACCATTACATCTAGAAGAGATCGCCTAGGGTTACAGTTAGGTTGCTGCAGCCACCTCCAAAGAGTGATGACCCAATGCTAGAGGGAATGACAAGGAAGCATTTCTTTCACTCAGAGAATGAGAATGAGTATCCTAAACGCTTCAGTATTGAGCGAATCGTCTGAAAGTGTCTCATAGCGTCTTCCTTAGTTGAGGGGATGATCACTTCTCCGATGTGTGCTACCGCCTCAGCAATGAAAATGCAACCACAAAGAGTAGCCCCTGTGCTCGAGGTAGAGAGCGACACTTCAGAATGTCTGCGACGGACCCCAAAATAAGCTATATCTCTCCATTGATGTGTAGCAGTGATCGAATGACATTTGTCATGCAACGCGAGTACTTTAGGGTATAAAGGGTTCTGTTGGCGCGAAACGATAACTGCTGACAATCAGTGCAAGCACTCATTTAGCTCCTATGATTGAACATGTTCTCTGGTAATTCTTTCGTCCTCGTAACTCATTCTTCGCAATATTTTCAGTCGGCGAAATTTGGAGAACATGGAAAGCTGCAGAAGAGTGAGTCCTTAATAGGATAGACTTCCGCGATGGGGAACCTTCTAACATGCGGACCGTAGTACGTTCGAGGAAGCAGTGAGCCACATATATCGATTTGTTTTGAGTATCCTCCCACCCAAGAGAAGTCCGCTGCGGGCGAGATGATGGTAGACTTTGATGTTCAGCTCTTGATTAGAGAATTCGATGTCTCCTACGTGGTAAGTAATCTACAATAACGGCTTGTGTTAATGTTGCGTGTGAGTTCAAAACTTCAAACTCGACTTTTGATTTCTGTTCAATCATCCGTCCTGTATTTTTTTCAGGCATTCTCCTGAGTTGAAAGGTTCTGCGCCTGATTCTATCCGTGGGAGCTAGTCCGTGGCTTGTTCAAAAAGCACGCTATTATCGTTCCTTTTTCGATAGTCCTTCATTGGTGTTTCTGTCGTATTAGTCATCCCTTACCTGTCTCCGATTCCCCCTCCTTAGCGTGGCAATGCTTTTTGCGTATGATATTGCTTGCGTCTGTCTTTTTCGTTGCATAGCGCCAGATGGTGGCCAAGGTCGTTTAGGAAGAGACCCCGTGCGATAATTTCTCGATACTCTCGCACTACTAATAGTCTCTAGTCTTGTATTTGATTTTGTGTAGTCAACATTTGACTTTTTGCAAAATGTTCAATGATCTGCAATTCCGTTCCGCTTCTCAGCCGTGGGCATGAATCCGAGAAGTGATGTCCACTCGCCTGAAAGTTTTTTTTTCTGAAGTAAGTAAGTAATATAAGTTCTGCGGTCTGCACTCAGTCTTCTGAACCGGATTCCCCTCTATTGTGCCTTTACCGCTCTAGCTCTACTCGCTTTGATGGCAACAAAATATTCGAGCGCAAAATGCTGTGTTTCGAAAAATCCGACAGTCAACATAATCAATGTTCATTCCAGGTACTGCACACAAGCTTTGTTAGATCCATTCTCTGGTTATGCGATCCTCTAGTTGTTGCTTG